TTCAGACGTGTGCTCTTCCGATCTATAATAGTTATTTAAAATAGTTATTTAAATAACTTAAAGTACTTTAAATTGAACAAAGTTATATTTTTTTGTAACTGATATTTATAGCAACTAAACTGTAAAAAATGGTCATGATCGGCGCAGGGGCAGATCACCCCTCCTTATTCAGCTACGGCCTTTGGAAAATCCATGCTTCTCACATGGACAGCTGTATGTGGCCTACTCAGGCGTCGAAAAATCTTCTGATTTATTCGTGTATGCACCAGATGTAAAACAAAAAATATTGTGTATCCAAAAGCACTTCAATAAACGGAATTAAAACACAAGCACTTTCTTTCCTTTAAGTAGCATTGCAACGCATGCCGGGTAACCGCTAGTTACAGTATAAAAATTAAAAAATATTGAACAAAAAAAATAATTCTCTGATTTATCTATGTAATAAAGTTATTTCGTTTCTGTATATTACCTTTAACTGACTTGTGAATCCTAAGATTGCTCTCTTTGGATGAAGTTCTGATTTCTGGTAATTTTGTATTAATCGGTATATAAAATTTGCATATTTTTTCTCTAATTAAATCTTGCCGATAATGAAATCTGTTTTCCTGAAAATAAATATTATTTTAATAATATATATTCTAAATGAAGTTTAAGAGTCACAATTGTGTGTTGTAGCAAGTCACAAGTCCCATGTATCTATTAAGCACCTACGAGGTTGTCTTTGACCGATTGTTATTAAAGACAATAGTATATAATAGGTCAAAAGTAAAGGATTATGGATAAAATAATTTTGTCCTAAACGTTGGAAAATTTTCATGCAGATTTTCTTATAGTTTTTGATGTGTTGAATCATTTGTAATCGAATTATTTTCAAACTAATGTGATGGGAAAGCGTCACAATCACAATCAAAGTAACATAGCTCTGTCGAAATCTGAACAAAAACTCAATAAGTAGCATTCTCTTATCTTTTATCTTTTTTTGTCACCTTTTACCCTATTCTTCTACTTTACTTAACTTAGCATGATCCATTCTAACATCACCTAATCTTATCCAGTTCAGTCTTATCTATTCTGATATCACCTAATCTGTTTCAAATTATTCCGTTCTTACATAGCTCAGAATTAACCACATAGATACAGCGGTTATTAGATCCCGTGTGTGTATACGAGGGCAAGGTGAAAAGTTCTCGGCCTGACATAGAAATGGCACCAGGAATGTCAAATGGTTTATTTTTCTTAAGTTTGATCCTTCAGAAGCCTACCGAAAAAGTTTCAGATAGATGCGATTAGTAGTTTATCTCTTATGTCCAGTAAACCAAACAAGTTTTGGTGTTTCTCGAAAAATGGATGTTGCGCAATGATAAAATACATCGTTTTGAAAGGTTTAATGCCAACAAAAATAAAAAACGAGCTGGATTCCACTTTGGGAGACATTTCACCATCATGAAAAAATGGGCTACTGAATTCAAACGTGATCGTCCATCCATAAATGACGATGAACGTTCTGAACCAAAAACCGTTACGACTGACAAGGGAACCTCGTAAAGTGTCAAATTCTGATTTTAATGAAACTTGGTACACTTTGAGGTCACATAAATAGATGAATTTAGAAATTATCAGTTGGTGATAAAACGTTGGTGATAAATTTAAAGGAATGAAATCATTTATACGTAAATATAAAACATTTTTTTTTTCGTTATGTCTCAAAAACAATTCAAGATATCAAAAAATATTGTATACAAAAGTTTTACAGTAAAATTACCTCTATTCATTTACGATAAAATGATTATTTTCAAAAATTTTCAAAAAATTTTTAAAATATAATTATTCTAAAAAAAATATTATTAACGTAAATGACTAGAGATAATTTTGCTGTAAAACTTTTGTATACAACATTTTTGATATCTTGAATAGTTGTCGAGATGTAACGAAAAAAATTAATTTAATATTATTTTATTTAATATTATTAATTTAATATTATTTAATTAAAATAATATTATTTATAACTTTAAATGTTAATTTTAAAATTTTTATTGCGTTTTTTCATCGCAATTGATATTTTGTAAATTCATTTGTTTACGACGTTTACGTAATTTATGTGCACAAAATTTTATTAAAATCGTAACTTGATACTTTTATTATAAAACTAGTTGTATATTCACATAAATCGGTCGAAAAATGTTGTTTTTCATGACAAAACATAATCATTTCTATACCACCTTGCGGTGTATATCACGGTGCGTTTTGTCTATAGTGGTTTCTCCAATAGACCTAATCCATTCTAATTTTTTAATACATAAGTTATTCAAAATGCTGTCCTCCTTCTTGAATAGCTTTTAGGACATTAATATTTAAATTAACATTTTTATCTTA